GAAAGGAGTTCCAAAGCATGGGAGAGACTCTAGAGAAGTCTTGGAGGCGAGCATGGGAGGAGTTGATGAGGGAGCTGGAAAGCAGAAGGTCTTGGGATTAATAACAACTTTGCGTGGAGTTCCTCTTTACAGGCGACTTCACAAAGATAATTTTTCTCTCTTTACAACTACTATTTCAATATAAATTAATAATATAAAATTAATATTTTTAGCAATGTCAGTTTTTAGATCTTTGGTTAGACGAGAACTTGTATATTCTGTCAAATACATATACATGTGGTGGTTGAGGAAATGTGAGTTGTAGAATGTCACAAGCTTCTGGCTGCTGCTATTTGTGAAGATGCATGTGGTGTGCGTTGAAGAGAACAGAGAAGGAGGCTGTTATATTGGTGATAAAATACCGATTCCTGATGAAAAAAGCCAACAATTCCACACTGATGACGGACTTGTTTGCTGTTTGAACATTTCGATGAGGAAATTTGTTGTGCTAAAAATACAATAACTCTTTCAGCTTAGTGAATGGAGGTGATCATTTCAAGTATTTCTTATTAATGAAAGTGATATTAACTTAAGTCAAAAGGTTTTAAGTTATTTCAAATGCTGATGAAATCACTTAGAATGGATGCTGCTCCACAATGTTTAAAAGTTTTAACTTCTTGTAGAATCAGCTGATCCCCTGAGCACTGGTCCTGATATCTTGTTTCAGGGGGACTCCTTTCCCTTACAGGGTCCTATGCAGTGACCCTTGTGCGTCCTAGCAAGCTGTGTGTCTCAACTAACATACAGTACATAATAGAAGTCACCAGCACTCGATGTGTGCAAGAAGTAAAGCACTTTTTATTAAATTGTCACATGCGTCTTACAGCCAACGTTTCGGGGCCATGCAGGGTCCCTTCTTCTGTGCGACATAGTGACAACGCTGGCGTGGCCCCGAAACGTTGGCTGTATGACGCATGTGACAATTTAATAAAAAGTGCTTTACTTCTTGCACACATCATCGAGTGCTGGTGACTTCTATTATGGACTGTATCTGACACGGCACCATCTGTGTTGTCAATCAAGCACCAACCTTTCATCCAAGGACTTTACGCTTTATGGAGTGCAGGTGATTACGTATTATCAGCTAACATACAGACACAGCAAGGCAAGACACTCCCCTCCTCCCCCCTTTTCTAAGCTAGGGGCAGCACAGCGGTGTAGGGGTTAGCACTATGGGGGTTCAAATCCCGGTGAGGTCACTTTCTTCATGGAGTTTGCATGTTCTCCATGTGCTTGTGTGGGTTCCTCCGGGTACTCCGGTTTCCTCCCACACTCCGAAGACATGCTGGAAGGTTAATTGGCTCCTGTTTATATGCATGTGAGATAGTAACCTTAGATTGTACACTCCTTGAGGGCAGGGACTAATGTGAATGTGTAAATTGTCGGCGCTGTAGAAATACCAATAATAAATAAATAGTAGATGGACATTTGCTGGAGACTGCTCTCTCCCTTTTGATCTTGTACTGGACAGGAAGTTCAGGGAAGCTGAGCTGAGAGAGTTGAAGCAGTTCAGACGTATGATGACTGTAAGTGCTTAGGCGAAAATGTAAAGAAATACTTTGCTGGGCTGTGTGTAGTTGCTTGACCAGGATATATTATTGAAAAAAAAGTATGGGAGTTCAATACTACTTTAAGAAAATAATAAACACAAAACAACCAATCGGATTCAGTCTTTCGTGTTTCTAGTCCAGGATTGGAGAACTTGATTTGTTGCTACAACTAGAACTGCTCCTCCAGCAGACACTTTTATGTATGAGGGTTGTTTCAGTTTACAGCAGATGTCCGGGTTCCTCATATCCCCCTTTTAAGTGATCAATTAAATCCCCCCCCAAAAAAAGGAATCCTAAAAAAATCACGTGATGCTCCGGTCCCAAGTTTCCCCTCCTCTTCTGTTTACATGAGGTAGGGTCAATCTTTGGGTGTCCACATCACTGCCTGTGTGACGCAGACACTTCTTATTGGCTGTCCAGCAGTGGGATCCTCAGGAGTCTCAAAACAAGAGGGTCGGACTGACTATGTAGTATAGAGAGTCCCGGGTTAATTAGAGATCGGCGACAGACCAGTTATTCAAATATATTAGAAAATGATTTTATTCACATAAAAGTAAGAAACGGACACGGCCAACAACTAACTATCGACCAATTAAAAACAGACTGACTGTAATCAAGTAGTCATTAGGTAGGGAAATATAAACCCTATAAAGATTAAGCACATCAATCAAGGCCACAAAACAGCTTCTAAATTCAGGTATAGCATATGCTCCGAATAAAGGGATTTAACCCTGTGTTGACATAGTATCACATAAATTTTAGTCGAAAATACAAAGTTGCCACTTGATTTTGTTGTGTATATGCCTATTGGCAACATATAGTTATATAGTGGCTTCTTGGGTCAGTGTATTTCCGTGAAGAACTGGTTACTTTGTAATTGAGGTTTTTGTTAGATTATTTCCATGAAGTTCCTTTTGTGAATAGTGTCCCAGATTGAAACAAAATAAAATATTTTCTGAAAAAGGATTGATGGTTATGTTGGTTTTGCCAGTGTGTTAAACTGGAATGGTGGTGTGGATGCTAGATGGTATGTGAGTCTTCCCTTTAGTACCGTAGTAGTGAAGGGGTATTTGTTTGGCCGTGGGAATGTGACCTATTCCACTAATCCCGATATAGTAATACGGCAGGGTTGATGTTAACACAAGGGGATTCGGACCTGGTTAAGAAACCCCCCCCCCCCCCCAAACTTGAAAATTGTGCCTGCGAGGTACCCGAATGTTGGACTTAGGTGCCGGTGAGGTACCCGAATGTTGGACTTACGTGCCGGTGAGGGACCCAAATGGTGGACTTAGGTGCTGGTGAGTGACCCGAATGGTGGACTTAGGTGCCGGTGAGGGATCCGAATGGTGGACTTAGGTGCCGCAGGGACCCAAATGGTGGACTTAGGTGCCGGTGAGGGACCCGAATGGTGGACTTAGATGACGGTGAGGGGCCCGAATGGTGGACTTAGGTGCCTGTGAGGGACCCGAATGGTGTACTTAGGTGAGGGGCCCGAATGGTGGACTTGGGTGATTTATATCTTCTTTGTACAGCCACAAATTATGTAACTCAAGAAAGCATTACATCATCCCAGTCCCCTAGCTTTATATTTGGCAGACCTGGGAGTATAAGGAGCACTGTGCAGGCACCCCAGGTGGTGTACGCTAAAAAAAAAAAAAATTGCTAGGAGACGGAGGAAAAGGTTTTTGTTTTGTTTTTTTTTAGCAGAAGACATTCAAAGTCCTCTCCTAGTAATTTATTTTTCCAACTAAACTCAGAATGAAGTCACAGCTTCTGATCTGCATATTAGTCAGCAGCCTGACCTGTTTTTCTGTCAGTAAAGATTTCCCATAAGCTCAGTCAGCCTTACCGAGAGTCTGTTTTCTTTCAGGCAAGCTAGACCTGAGCTACGGACATTAAGGGAGAGGAAGCCATGAAGCACAGTTACTTTGCAGTATTACATATCAGGAAGTAGCAACTGCATATGTAATGAGCAAATGTATGTAAATAATTTCACACTTCCAGCGAGGACATCCTCTTCTTGGTGCAATTTTGTGCTGCTGTTCTATTCATTCCTATGGGTAAGCCATCCTGTGGTGGACCGCCGGAGCCTGCCATATGTACGGCTTACCCAAAACAATTTAATCAGATTGTGGTATACATGCACACTGAAGGAAAAGAGTATCTGATGAGGATGCTTTTGCTGGAAAGGCTGTGCGGTGCTGGGCCACACAGAGAAGATTGCTGGATCAAGGAAGAAAGTAAGAAATGTCCAAGTGGTCAGAACTCAGGAGAGTGGGGGATATTGAATAAAGAATAACTGTACTTTTGTACAGTTGTCCTTTATGGTTTCTCAAGACCTTAACGCAGGGGTGGACACATTGATATGGAATCTGGGAGCCAGCATGATTTTTAGGAGCCAGCTCCATTGGCAACAGCTAGGGAAAACCTCAAAAGTTAGGCACCAGCTTTAACTTTTAGGGAGCATTTGGCTACGAGGCTCCTGGGATTTGTCCAGCTCTGCCTTAACGGTTCATAGAACTCATTGCATTAAGCTGAGTACTTTCACAAACTGCAAAAAGACTGTAGATCCCTGATATGAGATTCCCAGCGATTTTTTTTTTTTTGCTGTTTGTCCATATCTGTCAGACTTGGACATTGCCGTGCATGGGTAGATCTGTTGCACATCCAGCCTTTGGCACCCCAAAACAAAATGTTTTGAGCAGTTGTACAGAATTTCTGGATAATGCAAACATTCCTAATCTGCTTAAAAAGTGTGCCTGTTTGCTGTATAGAGTGAAATTTGCACATCCCAGTGATATAAATACCCATCTGTGAACATGACAATACAGCCAAATTAGCGGTATGAAGTGTATAACACAGAGCACAGGGTTTACAGTGGAGCAATGTGGGGCATGTAATGTATTGCACAGTGTACAGAGTGGGGCATTCTGGAGTATGTCGTGAACAGCACAGGGTACAGACTGCACACCTCAGCATTCACCCCAAGTACTCACAGCACATACACCCAACACGTATTCTTTTCACTGGGTCCTGCTGGTCCTGTTCACACTAAACTCTATCCCGTAAGAAGTTGTTGGTTGGGCTACCTCCCCCTCTCACTTCCTGAGTTTTGTCTTTATTCTGGCTATAGGACCAGTCCACCAGTACAGTAGATCTAGAGTAGATCTGAAGTACCAGCAAATCACTAGACATTCCAATTGCGCCAGGTAGAATGCCAGTATTATGTGCAATGTAACAATATATTCTTTTCAACAATATATTCTTTAAAAACATGTGACTGAAGGGAGCAGATAAGTTATTTATGAACAATATATCTTTAGGCTTGGGTCAGGAAAGCCATTACAGGAGAAGCGGCAGGCTGGCCTTTGAGCACCGCTGTAATACTGTGTTACATGTTTTATTTTCCAGGTACCATATGAGACGCTGAACAAGCGCTTCCGAGCGGCACAGAAGAACATTGACCGAGAGACAAGCCACGTCACCATGGTTGTGGCGGAACTGGAGAAGACTTTGAGCAGCTGCCCTGCTGTAGACTCTGTGGTTAGCCTGCTGGACGGGGTGGTGGAAAAACTGAGTGTCCTTAAAAGAAAGGTAATGCTTTGTGAAAAGCTACAAGGATTGTGCATTTTATGTCCATTATATTTATATACACTCATTCTACAAACATTTCCACAGTGCTTACCGCTTCCCTGCATAGTACTACATGTTATCCAGATATTGGTGTTGTGTACTATGCTGCGCCACTCTACTAATCGCAGTAGCTGCTGGTTAGTGGCCCCAATTTCCTGTTAATACATCTAATATAGCAGGTTCAGCTTTGTCAGTTTGTAAATTGTCAATGTGTTTCATAAAGTGTACTACTTTAAAGAAGAATTATCACTACAATTTTTAAAAATAATTTTAGGATCCCCCAGGGGACCCATTACATGTATCACTTGGCCCTGTTCAGATCTGTGCTGTTGTTATGAAAATAAAATGATTATTTCTGTTTCCGCTGGCTGTCTGTCCACTCCTGGCTGAAGCCCTAAATATGAGCATTCCTATGGGGGAATTACAGCCAGCACTGAGCCCCCCATCCCCTTCCCTATGTGTCTGTGTTTTCTATTCGGGGTAATGTCCCTGTGATCAGGTATTTCAGAACAATAGAATTGCTTTGGATTACTTGATCACATCCACCGCACTGACTTCACTTTCCTCCTGCTTTTTTTTTTTTTTTTTACAGGCGGGCTGACACTGTGGTGGGGG